CATCTGTTAATCTGGCAGCCGGCATCGAGCCGGTTTTTTACTTTGCCTGGTTCAGTTATTAAAACAGAGGATTTTCGGTTGGGCAGGCGGCTGGAAGAGCACAACTCTCATTGTCCCAGCGTAGCTGTGCCATGGCTCCTGTCCCCTTCCTTATTGCTGTCCCCACGTTATTCAGGTCCGAAAGCAGGGGCAGAGGAGCTCCCCAGGCAGGAGCTGGCCCGCGGGCAGGGGAGGGGATGGTGTGTGCGACTTCCATCCCCAGCCCAGTGCTACGCCGCGCAGGACCAAGGGACGTCAGCTGAGGGTGGGGGACCGCACCAGCCACGAGTCAACAGCTCCCACCGCCCTGCGAAGCAGGGGGTCTGCCCTCAGCGCCAGCTCCTAATTATGGCTCTCTGCGGGATGGTATTTTAGACAACTCCGTTCTCTGGTGCACACTCCGAAGGGATAAACTCATTTAGCAGGTTAATTAGTGTCCTTGGTAGAAACGGTCTCGGCCCTCTCCCAGCCCATGCTGGGAAGCCCAACGCAGGCGGGGGCAGCGTGTTTGGGGATGGCCCTGTGCATCACCCCCAGCTCCGCTGGCCGTGTGGCTATGAACTCAGCCCCTCACTCTTTCAGTGTACAAACCCACCCTTGCCCAGGGGGTCGAGACAGCAAAGCCGTCTCTTTCTCCTCCTCTGGTCAGACCTAGAAAGATCTCAGCCTCATCGTCCAAGCTTACCCTGTTGGGAGGTGCAGCACCCTTTCCCCTTGGGCCATCCAGCATTACCAGCAGCGCTACGCACGGGGCTTGCTTGTTCTTAAATATTGCACTGAGAACTCCCCTCTCGGGCCTGCAAACCATTAGTTTATTAGCCATGTATTTCAGAAACCCTACCCCTAATCAATAGGGATGCACGTACTCAACGCAGGTCTGCTAATTGCTGACCACAACCAAGGTGAATACATCCTGCTCCCAGGCCAGATGATGGCATTCCCCTTCCAGGCTTTGAGAACATCAGACAATTTCACTCTTTTCAGATGAAATTGTATTTTCAATATAGGTACTTACTTGCAAATGTTCTATTTATTGTTTGGCAGCATCAGCTGTACGTACACTTGCTAAAACAGCAGAGTTCTGTTTGCTAAAATACAATATTTGGATGAGAGCGCTCTAGGTGCCCATTTTCTTCTCCAAACTACACATTTCAATTTTTAATGAGCTCTGTTCATCTCAATTATACCTGGAGCAAAGCAGATGAGATCAGCCTTCAATTTACCTTTGGGGTTATACTAGTCATCGTCTCTGGGTACCAGGAAGATGTTTTCCACTGTGGTTGACTGTAATGACTATACCTGTCCATCCATCCCATGCCCAAAGCGAAGTGCAGATCTTCAGAGAAAGTCTTTTTCTCATACATAAAAGATTGTATCATTTTCTATAGTATAGTCCTCCCAATAAGGGCTGCTATAATTCATTAAAATTCAGAAGTAGATAAATAATGAATAGATATTGTATTTACTTACAGTAAATAAGCAGCTCCTAGCTTTTCCTTGTGATGGTAAATCCAGGCTCGAAGGGGTAACAACCCCCCTGCCCTCACCTGCTCAGGGCATCGGACAAGGTGACACCGAGGAGCCTAAGCCCAGCCCAAGTTCAGTCCGATATTAGGGCTTACTTGGTTTTGCTGTTGCCTCTCTCTACTCACAGCGAAGTGACAAAGCACGACGTAACACCCTACTGTTAGCATGCCCAGGGACTGACAAAACGGATTATTGTGGAGAGTTCAGAACAGGAGCCTTCAGGGCAGTCAGCTGCCCAAGCTCTGCATCGCTGGGAGAGCACCCGGAGCACTGCAGGGCAGGCTGCAGGGCGAGAAAGGAAACCTCTTGCACCAGGGCAGAGAACACAGATACAGCACCTACAAAGATTAGTGTTTGCAGCTTCCTTCCCCCCCTTTTTTTAATCCCTCTCAGCCTCAACAGGGACAGGGACCTTCTACCACTCAGGTAGATGAGGTGAGAAAGATCATTTTATTAGGAACATGCAAGAAACACCTCACTTGGAAACTGGGATGAAACATCACAGCTCATCTGCAGGAGCACAGCCCCGAAGGAGCCCTGCCGACAATCACCAGAACCAGATTCCCGAGTGTCAGGGGACTTCGCTGACCTCTGCTTGTCCTGGCTGGACTTGGATAGCATCAGATAAAGGTACAGCAACCGCTTTAAACAACAAAAACCCCCACAAAAGCCCCAAACCAGAACCAACAACACGACAACAGAATTTCTACAGAGTTTTACTTAACACTGTGTTGATTTAGATACATGTACACTTTTGTAGAAAACTTGAATAATAGCGTAGCTTTTTCAGGATAACAAAAGCTTTGAAAGCCACTGAAAGCCTTAAATGTGCAAAATACACTTCATCACATATAAAGATTTATGTTTTTCCCCCCAGCTGCAAAACCAATGCAGACAGGTATCATAGCAGGGCAAAGAAGAGTATAAACCAGGCTAGAAATATTTCTCTATTTCTACCTCCACGGCTCAAAAGTTAACTCTCAAACTTACCACTCTAACAAGGATTTGAGAAACCCAGAGAGCCATCAGGACCAGTCTAACAGTCAACTATTGTAGAAAACAAAAACAAAGCCCCACAATTGGAAAACCCTGAAAACATTTTTTTTTAATTTACAAACAAAACAACTTATTTACTACATTTAGGCCTCCCTGAATCTGGTTTCTTGAAGCAAGTAGGAAAGCTTCAGTTAATGTCCCTCAGCCTCAAGAGTGGTTTATCTTTTATAATTACACACTAAACAAAAGAGGGTGTGCAAACAGCATTTTAATGCATACTGCTGTACACCTGTGGAGAGGCAGTTTTCCTTCTACACTTTTGCTCTCTCGGCAGTTGTTCTGCTGCAGGCATCTCGCCCACAGCGCATCTGTGCAACACAACAGAAGTAAAGACTTGCGGTGCTTTCTACTTCATCTGTGTTTCTCTCCCCTCATCCCCGCCCCGATCAGCATCTCTCTCTGTAGACCGGCTGTTTTTAAAAAAACAAAAACCAAACTTAAACCCGTTACCTCTTTAAACAACTGCTTAATACATGGACCTGCAAGAAAGGAAACTTCCAAAACATGACTGCTGAAATACAACCACTGTTCATCGTTTTAACCTAGGATCTCGGTTTTGGATTTGTCTGAAGCTGAACGTATTTGGAGATGACGATCAAAGCAGAACACAGGGACTCCAGGAAGAGATTTCTCAGATTAAGACAAATTCTGAAATATTCCCAAAGATTTTGCCAAATTATAGTTTTTCAAAAATGTTTATGAACTTTGAGACTTCATGATGAGCTGTGGTGCCAAGGGGCAGGTGCCTTAATCCCTGGGCAGAGAAAAAAAAAACTAGTTAGTATACTTCAGTAATTTTTATAATAATGTTATAATCAATGACATTGACATCTGACATACATGATATATCATTTGATGTATTTAAATATCTAATTGCTAAGTAATACAGTTATCATTGATGATACTCACTGCATTGTGAAAGAAGTTGCAAAGATGCTTTGCCCATGGACACCTGAAAACCAGATACAGATTCTTAATCCATTTTTTCATAGGGACATACCTGCGCCCAGTTTCAGCCCCTCAAACTTTTTGAGTTTTGCATCACTCAAAGCTTTACAAGGCAGCTAGTTCAACAATTCACTTTAACTTCCAAATGGAGATGATTTCAGCACCAGGTGTACAGTAAAATAATTAAAAGATAGACCATAAGAAACAGGATTTCATCAGATTCTCTTGGATCACTGCTAGAGCATACTTTGAAGCCTCACAAAATAAACAAAAACACCCAATTAATGGAATTGCAAATTTGTTAAATACAGCTTAGCTCATCCACAGCTGAGTGAAATTAGGTATTTTATTTTCTCTGCTACACACAGCAAAGGCTGGAGAGAAGAAACAGACAGAAGCAATTTCACGAAGGTCAACTTACATGTCCATGATTTCCACTTAATACAGTTACTAAGAGGTAAATTCTCAACACTACTCTGCTGCCATCAGCTACGTGTGAATTAAAAGTACCAGAGCAAGCAATTACTCTGCCTTCTGGTATACAAACCACAGAGCCAATTCATTTTAAAACTATTATGTCAACACATTAAAGTCTATCACTCTAAAGCCTATAAAGCTCTACCGCGTAACACAAGAGAGCACGGATTATACTTACAAGCAGCTAGCGGTTTCAGAAGTGACACAGTGTATTATTATCATTAGTAATCTAAATAAAGTACTCGGACTTTTTCAGAACTCTGTTTTCCCCACCCACTGAAGCTTCCTGCTGCTGCAGAGCAAGTGGTCCCTCTCCTTCTTAAAAGGGGATAAGAATGACAGGCACAAACCTAGTGCTGTCCTCAGTTCGCATTACAGTGCACAGGTGTTCCCAAATCTCCCGGTTTTGGTGGGGGTCTCCTCCCTCACCAGCATGTGAAGTACTTCTTACAAGTTTAGAAGAAACACTGGCATCTGTACACCCATTGTATTCTTGTAGATACACAATAATATACATTTTGAGCTACTTTCAACTATTTTCTCTAAATAAAATTTTATGCAGTATTATGCCTCCTTAAAGTCCAGTAACTGCTTTGCTGTAAGTCCTGATTGAGGGTTTTTTGGTTGTGGTTGATGACAATGACACTTAAGTAACAGAACTAGACTGTACCATATGTAATCCTGCTGACTGGTCAGGGTTGCGAAGAGCAGGTAACATGTTTTTTATAACACTGGGCACTGGGAAGCGAGAAGGCCATTCGCTTGCCATAAGTAACACAGAACAATTTCAAATCTACCCAAAACATCATGTTCGGTATCTTTACCACTGCGAATAACAGGGAAGAATAAAAAACAAGAATGAACTGCGAGTTTGGACTGTTAAGAGAAAACTACCATCTGTGTTGCAACACACAATAATTTTCTACTTGGCTACGATGAAAATTCACACTTACATATGCAGATTCTCTGTAATAATATTTAGAGTGAACAGGCCAATGGACTGCATCTTCTTATGTCTGCAAGTCAGGAACAGGCAGAGGAATTCACCCACATACTGAGGACCAAGGTTTTGCCACCTAAGCAATATAAAACCAGGAAACAGAACACAGCTGTTCAACAGAGACAACTTTCCTATGGATTCCTAGCATCTTATTTGCATTCTTGACTTATCCAAAGCACTGGGCCGGTTGGTTTCAAGGAACAAAGGATTACATCTCTGCTAAATGTTACTGCTGCGGGATTGCTCTTACTGTTTCCATAAACAGGCAGACAGACTTCAGGGAGCAAGTGTTCACTCACAGTTTTAGCATTGTTGCTTTCTGACGATTTAGATCTCTCAAAATCAGGTTGACAGTGCCATGGAGAATCTGTTCTTCATAGGAAAGATGGTCCAATAACAGTCTCAGAGCCCAAAAGTTATTCTAAGAAGAGACAAAATAAGACTAGTGATTTAACCTAATTGCCAATCATTTCTTAAAAAACAGACTAAAGGTCAGCAAAGCTAAAGGGGAACAAAACCAAGTTAAACATATCTAAAATATCCAAGTTGGTGTTACACAGATTTTAAGTATCATTTGTTTTAATCCTTTAGAACAGAAATCAATATCTAGAACTCACCCCAAAAGCCAGGGCTATTTCTAAGAAGGAAGTCAAGTATGGAAGATCACAAAAAAGCATCTGTTGTACTGCTTGTACTGCAAGAATAAGACAAGCCTCATGGTGCAACTACAGGAAGAGATAACAAGAAGAGACATGTATTTAAAAGCCCACTTTCCCACTACTTGTATATCGTATCCAGTCAAATCAGCACTAAGTTACTACCATTCCAGTCAGACAGGACATCCGCAAGGATCTTATGAAGACCAAAAGAAGAGGGAATAGAACAGGCACTTCTCTTTATATAGCATGTTTCACCTGGTGCTCTCCAAGTCCTCACAGAAACATGAAGTCTCACACCATCACCGAAGCACAATTAAAGGCAAAAAAAAAATTCTGGCCACAAGTGACATATTTGGAGGAAAATTTCCTCAAAAGAAGTAAAAAAAAATAAGATGCTCCTTAGATGTATTGATTGTATTTAATATAGAATATATTTCAAGCCACTGTTAAACATGTTCCACTACACTTGAAATCATTATTCAAAACAAGTTTAAAAGTTCTGGGCTATTCTGAGTTTTGAGACAAACACACTGTCAAGTCTCAAAGGACAATCTCACGTTTGAATCAAACAACACAAGATCACCCTGTAAGAAGTTAAGACAGAATCAATTATTACCAGCCCTCGCACTTTACAAATGCATAAATTTGGACAGTGATAAAGACTTGTCCTAGGTTGAAGATGATGTCAGACCAGAACAGACCCTAATAGTTTTCTTACCTTCAGATATCTGCTCTAGCCTTTAGACTGTGCTAAGAACAGCCTTATGCCAATTCCTCAAGAAATCTTCAGACCCCCTCTTAAAAGCTTTTCATAATAATCCAACTGTTTTCAATACTGCTGTATGTTCAAGCACAATAACACAAATGGTAAATTTCCTTATTGCCATGTGCATACTTACATGAGGAGAGAAAATAGCAGGTGGTAAAGAAACATTCATTTTTGCCTTCAGTTCCTCCAAAAGGCCACCGCTGGCAGCAAGCACCCCCTGCAATAGAAGTAATGAGTCGCAAGTAAAGGGGAAGGATGTCCAGATACTCTATAAACATCAAACGGTGCCCAAGATGGTTCTTTAATGTGCTTTTACTTATTTTTTTCAGCATTTTTACAGAGGAGGTTGACTGTTCCACATCATACTCAAGGAAAGTTGAAGCTCTACGGCACTAACCAAACCATATCACATAACCTCTTCATTTTAACCGACTATGCTTAGCAGACAGCTATTTCTGTTCTTGTGAAGAAAATACCCAGACACTGACTCTTTAGGACTATCCGAACACATTTTTCTTAAACTGCCTTCCTATCCATTTTGTTATCTGATCCATCTCAACATTAAAAGATACAGAATCAGTATCAAGCACTGAGCTGCAAGCAGAGTTAATCTGTTTACTGTTGCATTTAACACTGCTGAATCACAAAATTCTGCAAAGCGTTACGTTGGGCACATACTACAAGAGTATTTGATGAGGCACTGTCAAGTTAACCTTAGTATTTAGAAAAAGGAGCTAATGCCAGCATCCAATGAAGTCTTGTATAAAACCAAGAAAACAGATTATCCCATTTCACGGTACTGTTTCAGTTACCTTTTGGAAGTCAAGCGGTGGCTCTTTCAGGGATAGGGGATGTAGGTGCCCACTTTTTTCCAGCAAACTACTACTACCCAAGATCATGATGAGTGAACTCCAGGATTTAGGCTGAAACACAGCAGAATATTTGTTTTACAAAGTCAAATCTGTTCACCGAGATGTAAACTATTCAGAGAGAAAAGGGTTCTGACAGTAAATCCTTGCATTAGAGAATTAACTGGACAAAACAGGTACTATATAGAGAAACACTCAACGGGCCACAGAAACACAGGTTTAATATAGACTCACATTCCTGTATAGTGACACATTGCTGTAAAGGAGTTTGAGCGCCTGCTTAATTAGAACACCATCTTTCAAGGGAGGACCTGCAAGAAGAAAAAAAAAAATCCAAAACATATCTTATATTCTCTAAATAGAGTAGGAACACAAACAGGATACTACCTTAGTTATAGATATGTTTCTACAGAAACCTAACAAAAGGGATAAATGTCTACAGCTATTTTACAATATTTTGTAGGTCCTGAACAGAAAAACAACATCAACTGTAAAATGCTATACTGGAAAACTTCAAAGAACTGAATACAATTTAGACTAAGTCATCACAGCAGGTGATGTCTTAGGTCTTCATTAGGTACACCACACCACACTAGAGTGCAACACACACTGTCAGTATCTCATACTTCCAAGAATTCTAGTAGTAGTTGAATAACTCCAAAAGAAATCTTTCATTTCAGAATATACCTTGACAAGTGGCACACACCAAGACAGATGATCACAGTTATCAGTGGCTGAACTAATGACAGAGTATAATACACAGATCATGAAACCCTTTTCGTCAGGAAGCTTTCATTCTCAAGGTCAAGGCTGAGACATATCATAATGCTAAGTTACACACTGCCAGTGGTAATGCCATGATGTAATAAAGCACTTTATTTCCTTTTAATAGGTTGCTTTCAGCAGAACAACTTCACAGTTGACAAAACTAGCATTTTGTGGGAAGTGTACTGAACAAATTCATGCCAAATATAAAGACATTCTTCCTGTCTAGTGTTACACATCATGCTTTAGTCCGGACAATTTATTGTTGGGTTCACAGTCCCTCAGAATGTTACTAATTTTAACAAAAAAGCAAAAGCTGTAATTAAGTAAGGTTCTAAACATATGTAAGCCAGAAATCACACTTGCCAACTGTCATCCAGGGCCCAGAGTCTAGCATATCCTTTCCCGTGGGGACACTGCCTGTTCTGAACATCTTCAGGTAGACCTCAAACTGGAGAGGTGTTATCCGGCAGGCAGTACAGCAGGCAGTGCTGTTGACGGGAAACAACAGTGAATGCGCAGCGTCGAGGAAGTCTCCAGTTTTACACAAATAGAATGGGATTTTATCTCGAAGGTCTCTCAACCTGGAAAGAAGAAAAAAATGAATATTTGATTTTCATTACCATGAAAGTGCAGCGTCGAGGAAGTCTCCAGTTTTACACAAATAGAATGGGATTTTATCTCGAAGGTCTCTCAACCTGGAAAGAAGAAAAAAAAAGAATATTTGATTTTCATTAACATGAAAGTTTTACAATACGTATGTATAGATCTGATAATGCTTGACCACTAGTAAGTTACATCTGGTAAAGCAGAATTTAGTTTTTAGTTGCAATGTAGCATTGCTTTCATTTAGCAAACAGCTGCCAAGATTCTACTGCTTTTCATTCTGCCAGGTTATTACACATTGAAGAAACAGACTAGGGCAAAATCTTAAGGCAAAGAAACAATTGAGGAAAAAAAAAAAAAAAGGAAAAAAGCCATTTACCCTTTGGTATCATTGCACTTCACAGCTCTCAAGTAGCGAACAACTTCTTTATAGCTGGGGAGAAAAAAAAAAGAGGGTGAGTAGGAAGAGGAAGGAAGTGCAAAGCTATATACAGGCAAATCAAATATTTACTCCAATTAATGCAGCCACACAGTAGATCTTCCCACACAAGAGTTGTTGTACAACAGGACAGAAATACAACTGGCAGAAAGAGACAGTTGGAAATAAGTTCCAAGAAGCTATCCACAGATTATCTTTGTACTCTGGCAAAATGAAACAGGAGGTTGCCTTTCAATTTAATTCTTTAAGTGGACTGTATTCTTTTGAATACAGACTTCTGAAGACCCAGAGACCAGAATGCACTTTTTATGCTGTCTTCCACCTAGTCAGCCTTTGATGAACAGAATTTGTTTCAAACATCAACATTTAAAACCTGCTGGGTTTATGGAAACAAAGAAATTACCCACTACAACATTCTTTTCTCATCCTGAAGTGTTCAAAGGGCGTGAGTCTGCTTTGAAAAACTTCAAAGAGGTACTGGCCTTGTTGATAAGAATTAATGGGCACGAACATCTTCAAATGTGTCTTTGTTTTGTATGTTTCCCCATTATACAAAACTGCAGATGTTAGGAAAACACTATACTGCAGTCAATACCATGCAAAATTTAAAAGTTGAGTTCATGAAATGAAAAATCCAAGACAAGACCAAACAGATCTTACTTCTTTTTGTCTACCAATTTCTCCACTCGAGCTTCTATAACAGGGAGCGTTTCCCACAGGAATACTTTTCTTCCTTTCTGTGTTCTTTGACCAGTGATGTTTTGGCCTTTTAAAACAGTGGTCAGTAATACATGGTCCCATGGCACAACATTCAAGCTGGAAGTACAAAAATAAAGTAATTTTTAACCATGTTTTGTTTGTAAACCACAATTTATTTCCCTTAAGTTACGTGAAGATTTATCGATACAAAAATTTTGAGGTTTACAGCTCACTTCTGAGGGTGGAGAATTAAAAAAAAAGGAAAAAAAGGAAAGAAAAAGCTATATGGACAACAACTTAGCCACAGCATCAAACAACAACTTTTCCTCTAAGGACAGGACAAATACAAAGCAGCCAATATTGAAATCTTCCTATAAAATGCTCACACCTAACACTATCAGTGAAAGAACCATTCTATATAGCTGTTTTCAAATCAGGCAACTGTATAAAAATATATTCTGTAAACAAAAACCAAAGAACATACCTATTTGAGAAGCCAAAACAGTGACATGGAAGTGAGATAGACTGAAAAAAATTAACAAACTTTTCATACAAGTTTTTTGGAAAGTCACACAACACCAGCATCCTCTGAAGTTGTGTTGTGATCCTGTGTTTTGAAAAGAAAAAAAAATAATCTTAAAATTGGATGAATTACTGTTAAGATATTGCAGTTTTTTTTTTTTTTTAATCCTATTGGAAACTACTCTACAGAAGTTTGGAGTTTGTTTTTTTTTTTTGGTTAAATGTCAGATAGTTTGGATCTATATTTAAATCTGTGCTTTAAGATTTGTAGTGAATAACGGTATTGCTCTTTTTATTATTATTTCTAAACACCAGTGAAACCAATGTTCTGTTTGTCTTGTCTCTTTAAAACTTGTCTTAAGTTTTAAAACAAAGATCCCCAGTGAGTATATGCGAGAAACACTGCAGTAACATCAGATGAATCCGATAAGCAACCTCATCAGTCTGAGCTCCTGGCAGCTTCACAGCTGGTGAAACCATTCTTGTCTTAACTGAAAACTGAAGATATCACATTGACACAAAGAAGAATTTACTTTTTCAAAACTGGGGAAGGGAGGCAAAAAAAAATTCCTTTTCCTGTTCTTTTAAAGTAAGGAATTAAAAAAATCAAGAATAGTAATTTAAAATGAAAACTGATAGAGGATTTAGGTTATACCTGTCATTAATTTCAAACAAGAGGTGGGAATATATAATCGTTTCTGAGTGCTCCTGAAAAAAAGTTAATTCTTAATTCATTAACCTTCTATTGCAAGTGAATTTCAGGTTAAAGGTGAAATACAAAGCTAAAATGAGAAATGAATTAAGCCAAGTGAGCTAGATGTCCTCATTCATCAGCCTCTGGGGGAACTTTACTATGTTACATCCCTGACTACCCCATCCCAGTGGATTACTACAAGGCTGCTGTTTTGATCTTTAACAGATGCTATTTACTCTTGGGCTTAATAACCACAAGTAGCTACCTGACACCACCTTCTGGTCTGGCATCACAGACAACTCCTAGACTACAGCTGAAAAGTAATCCATCTTCTTGGCTCTCAGTTCCCCATTGAGTTATTCTCCTTTGAGGCAACAAAGGAGGGTTTGAATGTTTATGCGTCTCTAAATAAGGCAGGTATTGCCTTGTCCTTCACAGAAAGGAACTAATATTCAACAGAGCTTCTAAAAATCCTGATACGTAGTGTACAACTGTAGAACCTGACAGCATGCTGACATCCATGCTCATTAGGCTGACCAGTGCATATCATTGCTTGTATTCTTCTGCCTGTCCCTACCCATCTGCAGTCTACACACAGGCAACAGCAGGCTACTCTTGCTCTGCTCAAACAATGCCTAAGACAGTACACTGGGGTCATGTTCCCCGATAAGGAGTTCCTGATGCTTCAGAACAGTAAGATTACACATCTGTGCAAGTTTACTTTTGGCTTTTTAGAGCTAATGCATTCACTTTTTTTTTCTTTATGCCTTTGAATAGAAGTCATTTGAAAGGCATTTCAAATGCAAGCAGAAAGTTTGCAGCCAGCAACCATCCCACTGCCATCACATAAGACAAGTCTTACCTTTGCAACAGACAAGGGACAGCAATCTTCAATGAAGCAGTATGACCAAGGTTCTGCCAGCTTCTAAGAGGGGTGGAAAAAAGCACTAATTGACGTTTCACTTGTTTTCCTGCCTTTTCCCCTTCTCTATACTCAAAGTGTTAAAACACATTCTAGAATTAACACTGTTGTACAGCAGTACCTAACCAACTGAAGCATGCCTGCCCCAAGCAGCATAAAGCAGTACCAAACCTTCTAACCTGCTGTATTAGACCATCATGGGCACATCTCTACTTCGACAGGGCCTCTGGAGGGCTGTCTATCATCAACCCATGAGAAGGCCAAACCACATCCCATGTAACTACAGTGAACGCCGTGGGACCCACAACAAGCATGCAAAGAGAGACCTACCCAAATAATGTATCTAGCCTGCTCCTTGCAAACCTTGACAATTCCTCAGAAAGAAGGCCTGTTGAACCAATCCAGACCATGTTTACTTGTCCTTTATAAAAAGCCTTGAATTTAAGCCTCAAAGTATTTAGGTTTTGTAAAGCTCTGCAACCTTGCCCAAGCTAGACAGTAATCAAGCATGAAACAGCCATGATATAAACAAGAAAATAAACAGCACATGTAGTATAGACTGAAGTATTTAAACTCTGTTTCTACTTATTATGCAGCCCTCCCAGCTGACAGGTCAGCCTCCAGGCTTATGGGAGTCATCTAAAACTTATTACCCAAGGAATATCACATCCTCCCTTCCCTCCAGGTCAGAAGCAGACGTTTCTTCACACAGTGCAGCTTCTGCACTCTCCACCCTGCCCCTGTACCTTCTCCTGGGGAAATAACCCCACCTGCCACCATCTGCTGTCTGTCACCCTCCCTCCTCCCAGTTCCCATCTCAAATTCCTTCCCCTTGTTGGAGACCATCTCCCCTCCTCATGACTTAATCCCACTTAACTTCCTCCTCTCACATCCAACCTTTAACCTTCTCTTTTCCCCCAAATCTCTCCCCGTAACCAATCTCATTTCACCCTCAGGTGTACTCATTTTTCTCTCACTGTGCTGCAGCCAAGGCTGTGATCTTTACAGTGTCCTTACCCTTAACAAATGGAAACCCGGAACTCTCTTACTTAGTTTCCTCCCTTTGAAGGGCAAATGAAGATTACACACTAGATGGGGAACTGGATACTTACAAAGCAGGGTCTTTATGAAGTGCTATCTCTTTAGCTGCTCCCAGAAACATGATGGCAGCAGCTTTAGGACTCTCTCTTTCTGCCTGATTTAAAAATCTTGTTACCAGCGCAAAAACTCCAGAATACCTAAGAAAATTAAGTAGTCTGTAAGATAAAGTGTCTGCGATGATGTACTTCGTAAACAAACGGCAATTATGCTCTCAAACGGTAGAATGATCAAATTGACTTGCCTTTCCTTGAAAGGCATCCATAACATAGCGAAAACGTATTTGCACAACCATTACTTTAAGCATTTTAAAGGCACATACCATCGAGTAAATGCTGAATCCCGTTCTAAAAAACAAATTGGTAAAAATAGTTTATACTTTCATGCTTTCTAAATGTCCTGGTATAGCACAAGTGATGTATTTAAAGTTGTACTAAAGATGTATTTAAAGATGTATTTAAAGGGTTTTTTTAAACTACATCCAAGTGCAATTTAATAGCTCACTGGCCAAGTAAGTTCTCTCAACTATGTTTCTGCTGTATCAGGTGCCGTGATTTTGATTAGCACTTGGCTAAAGGAAATCAAACCTGCACTGACCAGCACGTACTGCTAGTAGCTGAGTTCTGTTGTCGCTTACTTGTATACGACCTCCATGTTGCGTGATCTGCAGATATTGCATTGCCCAGGAGGCAATTTTGGGAGGCAAAAGCATTCATGTTGTGTGGGAGGCATTCTTTCTCCAATCAGATACTTATTATATTCCACAGAAAGTTCCTGGATAAATTTTATTAGAAGACTTCCTAAGAGAGCAGACAGATGTGAAACTGTTAGTGCAATTTTTTTTTTTATTTTTTCAGAACTAAAAGAAACAGAAAGACAATCATAAGTACCCCATGTAAAATATTTAGCAAGTTACATTCAATCTTATTGGCCAGGAAAGCTTTGTGGCTTCTTCCAGAGGGAGGAAAGCAGGAAAGTACATGAACTGGACCTGCAGACCTGTGTCTGGTCTATGGCCCAGAAAGAGAGTAGCAACAGTAAGCTGCTACCTTAAAAATTCACCAAGCCTTCGCAAGGAGAGTTGTGGACCAGACAAGCTGCCCATCAAGCCACAGACCGAGTAGCCACAAGTCTCCCACAACAGTATAAGAGCATAATGCTTACCACCATGCCGAAGGTCTGCATCTATATCTGTGAGCTCCAAATTGAACGTTACAAGAACACCAGCCAAGGCAAAGTCACGCTGGTCCTTCCAGAATTTGCTTTTGTTGTGTGCATTGCAGTGACAAAGGGAAGCAGTTGTCCAGTTCTGGCACTATTTCATAAGAAGTGAAAAACAGAGAAAGGGTTTGGTGGTTTTTGTTTTTGTTTTTTTTTTTTTTTTTTGCCTTTTTTTTTCCTTCCCCCCACCCCGAGTTGAGCAAATCAAAAGTTAGTTCCAAGTCAAGGACTACAACTCATTTCATCCTTTACACACCTAGAAAGAGCCACAATGAAGTATTTTGACAGTCAGGGCAAGAGGCCAATATGGCAATAAGTCAATATCATGGCTAACAAAAAACAACAAGAAAAGCCCATAGCAATTTACTGTCATTCCTGAATACATTACAGAGACACTTAGGGCTGGCACCCTCCCCACTGTACACTGGTAACAGAGCACTGTCTTTGAACGTTCACCCCAGCTTTGCTCACAGTTCAAAGTTTTCTGAATTCTAAGAAAAACCCAAACAAACCGCCCACACTCAATTCCTCCAGCTCACCCACTCCCTCTCTCTCAGTTGGGACAGTCTAAAGATCTGACGTTGCCCTAGTGCACTAAGAAGCAGTTTGATCTAGTAATTTGATTCCATGAAATATACCCTGTACCTAAAACAGGAAGTACCTTTGTTTATACCAAGTGAATGTCCACTCCAACAACTGGCTGGACTACTAGAAATAAACCCAGACAGTGACCAGATTTTTAGTAGCATTGTGAAGAAGGCAGATATCAAAATTTAGGAGAGGAACTGTTAAAATAATAAAATTTCATGTATTATTTATTCTTTTAGAGTGCTTAAGAGTGATTTCTTTTAAAAAGACTGTTGAGCAATTTAGTTTACTCAAAGTTGTGCATTTCTTGATTACAGTTCTTCTTACCTCAGAAGCTAGTTTATCACAAATGTAGCAGTAGCACTGATTACAAATATCAGCATTTTTTCCAAGGGGTGAGCATGTATCACATTCCATTCGCCTACAAGGTTGAAAAACAGAAGGTTATTTATTAAACAAGTTACATGCTTAGACAACTCTACTTCTGCTTTCAGCTGTTAAAAAGCTAACAAGGTTACTTGATAAGATGGACTACATGTGGAAAACGAAACCCCCATATTAACCTCCACATCACTGAACATACTCAAACGGGTGTATTGTACAGTCATATCTTGCATGAGGCATCACTTTTGCTTGTTTACAGAAAGTAACCATTAGTTCACATTCCTCATCCACAACTTCTTCAGATTTCTCCTCCTCCAGGGCAGACTTCTCTGTAGAAGACAGAATATGCGGTGTAAGTCAGTATAAATATAAAGGCAACTACAACTTCATGACAAATTCAACCAGCTAATGACACTTACTTTTAAAAAAACACTTTAAAGCACAAATTTGCTTGTTATTTCACATGATGCCAACAAGAACGGTACAGTGGCCTGGGACAAAAAGCTTCCACACGCTATCAAAACAGAGGTAATGTAATCAAAAAGTATCCAATCTACATTGAAAAGGCCCAGTCTCAGCTACGTTTGTAGTATTTTCAAACTACACAGCAGTATCCTTTAGGGTAAGTAGTGCTGTCAAAGAAATCTCAAAAGTTATGAAATAATGGCAGTTCCTCCTGGTTTTATTTATTTCTTAAGTACTTTGTTTCCCTAGCAGCAGAAAGACACATTTCAAGCATATCACATAATAATTTACTTCAGTTTATTTCAAAAGTTCTTGACAGAACTTCATCGACAACAAGAGCACAGTACTTACCCAATGGGTCTACTAATAGAACTGAATTCCCAAGCGTGCTCTCCGTTTCATCATCGCTGATCAGGATTATGCTCTGCCCTTCCTCTTCTCTTTTCGATGGCCCCATGACTATTGAACTCCAAAGGAAAGGAACTATTGAGCAGCAAAAAGGACACAAAAGATAGTTCACACTTGGAAGGTCCTTTCCTCAAGAAGGGAAGAAAAAGACTTCTTCAGGACCCAAAGTCTTCATCTATGCTCATTAAGTTACACTAGGGACAGAAACATTCAACCCTTACTGCAGTCAGCAGCTCAAAAAACATTGCGGTTTCCATCCAGAGCCGAGAGACCCTAAAAACAAGGAGGTGGGGAAAAAAAAAGAAAAGAAAAAAACCAAACATGAGATGTGCTGTTCCTTTGGTGGGTTTGGTGGGACCGCCTTTGAAAAAACTATCAAATGATAACAACTTTTGTTCGCAATAATTTAGCTGTCCTTTGCAGCCTCGAGGCAGCAGAAGGGCCCAGCGCAGCCCCGCCTGCTCCCTCCCCTCACTCTCCCAGCTTCCTAACCTCAGACAAGGG